TTTATTAACCACACCCATAATTTTGAAGATTACTGGGATTATCTCTGTATACTTGCAAAAAACGGATGTAAACATATGCACTGTGGTATCACAGTATATAGGCAGGTNAGACACTCTCCCTAAATAATTATCCACTCTTGGTCTTAATAATGACCAAGTTGTATTTGCAAGGTGGTGAAATCAATTATAGGAATATTTTTTACCCTGTTACGCTTGTTAATAGTTGCTTCAAAATAATTTTGTCAAAAATGAATAGGAACGAATTCTTCGTTCTTATAATTTTTTACGACCTGGGGGCATAGCCCCCAGGTCGTCTTATAATTGATTTCACCCATGTGCGATACATATTTGTATGTCAACACTTACATTTCTTTTATACACGTTGTATTGGAGAAGAACAAGCCTTAGCAACCATCCGCCCACACTCCTTTACGTAGTGGGTGTGGCCACAGCAAGCAAAATGGTGGCTTACACATGGGAGTGATGGGACAAAGCTATGAACTCTCTAAAAGCAAGAGAAAATAAAAATACTGTCTAAAGACTTCTCTGGAAGTGTTAGAAGGTAGAGAAAACCTCTATAAGTCTTAATAAGTTCCCAGCTATACATGCAAGGTGGTGAAAACAATTATAGGAATTTTTACACTGTTACGCTTGTTTCATAGACATGCATGTTTATAAGTTGCATAGAAAGTTTGAGCTGTCTCTGATCAAAATTGGATTTTTTATGTATTTTTAAAATTCCTCCTGAATCCAACCAAAGTCTCTGTTTTATAGTACAGGTGGTCATATTTGTCAAAAATTACTACGAGACGGAACATGTACATGTACATGTACTGTATTTCTAGGGACTGCTTATTTATAATGTTGCTTGTGTTCCAGTGTAATACATGTAATATATACAGTACTACTGTGTGTTTGTTTTGTGGAGTATTGTGTGACTAGGTGTTGTGCGGCTTTTATTGAACTATAGCCTTGTTCGTACTCAGTGTTAGATCTAGAAATTAATTTTTAAAGACCAAAAGCTAAAAATAAATGTACATGTATGTGAGGAAACTTAGACCAATATTGGGAGACTGAAAGCCACCTAAACTCCCTCTAGATCTTACAGTATTTAACTATGATTATTCTTTAAATACATGTGTATTAGTATTATTTATTTATTTATTTATTATTATTATTATTATTATTATTATTATTATTATTATTCTCGTACTTTAGGGTAACAGTCGTTATGAGCCAGCTACTGATGTGAGGGCTCAGCTAAAAGTCCTGGAGCGTATTGATGAAGTGAGTGCCACAAGGAAACAAGAAAGAGAGAAAGAAAAGATTATCCGTGCTGCAAAAAGTCGCTCAAAACAAGATGACCCAGAGCTAGCCAAGATGAAGGAACAAGCCAAGCAAGTTAGTATTGATTTGATGAAGCATTCTATTAACTATTATTGGCCTATTATTATTATTATTACTATTATTATTACTGCTACTGTTGTTATTGGTCTATATTGTACAATAGATCCAAATAGCAGAGGAGAGAGAGATACACCAGAAAGCAGCTAATGTACAAGCACTGGCTGCTATTGGAAGGAGAAAGAGAACAGCCACTACTGCTTTTGGAGGAGAGAGCTCTTCAGTAAGTATCTTTCCCTATCTCTCACACCTTACATTAATCACACACACACACAACACACACACACTATAACATGTAATACTACGTTGACACTACAGTAGTGGGCCAAACCGTGCTGAACTAGGCTGAGCTGGCCCTTTAATACTACGTTTACACTACAGAAGTGGGGCAAACTGTGCGGAACCAGGTTGAGCTGGCCCTGCTGTACTAATACTATGTTTACACTGGCTTCTTTAACTGAGCCAGCCCTGTTTAAAGTTGGCCAGCACAGTTTCATGTGATTGGGGTGAGCCTGACAAGCCCCACTAAGGTAAGAAAGCGTCTGTATATACGTACAGGCATGATAGGGTCATCTAACTGTTATTAAAGTTAAATAGCATAATCTTCATTAAAAGCGGGTGGTCACAATGAATAAAATGGCGGCTATCAGCAAGCCTGAGCTTATTTCCAGCAAATGGTCAGCAAGATAAGACTAAATTGCTGTCTAAACACTTGTCTAGCAAAAAGGAAGGTTAGAAAGCAGATATGGAATCTTTTTTCTTGATATAAAAGACTCTGATAAGTTGAATGCAAGTGAGAAAGCCTGGAGCTAGCCTAACTGCATGCATCATGAGATCTATTGTAGGTGATATTTATTCTCTAGCAGCAGGCCTAGGTTAATAAAACAGATGTACAATCTTCTTCAAATATGATTTTTTCAGTGACTGCTTCTAACAATCTTTTATGCCAGGCTATTAGCAAGAGTATATAATATTAAAGAGAGTATCGAACGGTCCTATACAAGCTGCTGCATGAGGGCGTATTTGCTCAAAGTCACAATCCGCATACTCCAGTATACTTTATCAATGAATATAATTATCGCGTAGACATTGAGTTGCCATTGTCACAAGTTGGCAAGTGCTTGGGGCACCAACTCCTGGATACTAGCGCAGCACTACCTTAGTAGTTCATCTTTCCAGCCTTCT